ACTGGATTTGAACCTACAACCATAAGATCCACAGTCCAGCACCTTATCCACTAGGCTACTTGCTCTGCATTTGGATGATCAATCTAAATCTTGGTGTTAAATATGCACATACAATCAGAACCAACGATTTTTAATGCTGGAAAATGTCAGAATACCAAAATGAAAATCATACTTCACAAGTAAATTATTTCTATCTTCTAGCAAAACCGTCTCCAGGGCACATAATGTTCCAAAATGCTATAGTTTCATCAATCTTTTATCAAGCGATTGTATAGTTTACCAACCATCACAAACAACAAAATAGAGAAGGCCAAACTGCTTCACAAAAATTTATTGTACAATAATTTGTTCTAGATTAATGATTTATCCTCTACTCTGAGGACATGGTAGATTGTATTTCTACATTGTAAAAATAATGATTAACCTAAATGGTTGACTGACGGGACACAGAGGGAAAAAATACTGATCATCGAGTCTTTTAAAGTATTTTTTGCAACGTCTTGAGTGTGTATTTGAAGTTTTTAGCTCAAAACCAGGACCGTCTAGAGGAGGTTCCTCGTTCATCTTTGTGAAGTGAAATAAAATCAGTTTCAAGAGTGTTTTGGGGTGTTCAACTGAAATTATAAATGGAACCGGATACTGACATCGGTGGTCAGGCAGCCAGGCATACATACCTCAAATGGGCCTATTTCACACTGGAAAACCAGCTACAGAGACCAGTTTTTATAGTGATGCTTAACAGCTGACAATGTGCTTACACAGCTTCTCTTTACTTCCTTCACATTGAAGAGAAAAGTTGCTCAGTCAGTGAAAAACAATAGAATTCTCCATACGCAGACGACTATTACTACATGTGTGCCATTGTCAATAGTGCTTAGCGGCAATATGATTTTCTGCTATGGTAAGCATAATTTATCTGCTTATAGTCAAATAATGCCATACAAGGTACAGTCATGTTCCATTATGTCATTTTTTGGATTACTTCAAATGAGACTGTACCATTAAATTGGGCCAGGTGAATCAAGTCAAAATAGTTTGAGACAACCAATGTAAGGCAAAAACAAAAAAAAAATGCTTGGCATTACAAATCACGGTATGTAGGTTTAACAATTTAGAGGGCACTTTTTTCAATGAGCGACCAATTCAATGTGCAGCAAACACAGACTAGTTGTGCATAAATAAATCTGTCAAACCTTTTTACACCACATTCAAAATAAAATAAGCATATTTCTCTTTTCTTTTTTTCCAACGCCACATTTTCCCCGATCCCCCCCCAAAAAAAATTAGGGTCGTGCCGTCAAAATAAGAAGCATTACCATTATTTTACCCAAAGGGTGCAGTCTAAGGATTCAAGTGAGAATTTCTGGCCAGCTCATTAGCATTAACCACTTGCTGCTGGGTGGATTTTTCTTGAGCAAGACAAGATGCCGGGTCCTTTTCAAGATTTTCTGTTTTCAAATTCTATAAAAATTCATCATTTCATTTAATGGCCGTTTATACCAAAATGAAGGACCCTTTGGGCACTACTCTAAAGCTGACAGGTAAAATTCATTGACTCCTAAATATTTCAGCCAGGCCTGCAGCCTTGGAAAAAGAGCCCAGATTGTGTGGTGTTATATAACTGTCTTTTGTTCACGAGCCTGGCTCAGTGCACTACTGACCTCTTTTCAATAGGGGCCAGATTAGCGCGCAGCGGTGCTGTGTGGCTCATAGAGGGATTTCACATTAGCGCTGTCTGCGCATATCTACATGGAAACCGAGGCTCTCTGTTTTGAACTTTATCGCACGCGCCTGCGGAGTCCACACAGTACATGGAGTATCTGGTTTGTAAGTGTGATGCCACTTCAATTTAAACCACGCCCAAGATACACAACCATCGCAGGTACGTTAGTTCTCGGTCAACTG